GATCGAAGAGGGAAGAACAAAGAAAATGCAAATTATTTTCTCTTGTTTTAGTAAATTTTATTGTGTCGGATTTAAATAGAGAGGTGTGAGTAAATAAATTAAATCGGACTCCGGTATAAAATTAGGCTAAATATCAGCAAACACCCTTAACTTTGAACGATTAACAGATTACCTCCCATGACTTTCAAAGTATTAGAGAACCCCCTTAAGTTAGGAGTTATCAAAAAAACACCCTTTAAATTTTACATTATATTAGAAAATCTCCTAACCGCGCTAACTGTAATTTTGACTAGCAAAAACACCCCCTTGTCTTTTACTTACCCATGCAAAAATAACCCATGATATTTAGCATGTTAAGGGGGTCGTAACAACCCATAAGGGGAAGTTTTTTGATAATTTTAAAATTGAGGGAAGGCTATCTGATAATTGTCCAAACGCAAGGAAGATTTCTTATATTTAACCTAAACTTGGATTACAATATGGATGAATCTTAACCATAGGATTAATTATATCTGCTCCTAGACTATTTAGCATACTTGAATAAATGGTCACTGATTCATGTCATTTTGAGTGTCTAAGCGTGGGCTGATTTTGGAAAGTCCAGGTAATATTTTTCTAAAGGGTATTTTTAGAAATTACCCTCAAGTAATTTCTATTTTACGTTCCATTATACAGTTATTCTTCAATTTTGCCTTGAGGTGATTTTTTTCAAGAAACATTTAATTTAGCCTTAATTAAGTTAATTAACTTTAAAACAATTAATTTTAATATTATTAGTGTTGATGTCAGCTATCAATCAGGGAATAATATGTAGGTGTTTGGAATGATTAAGGTCATCTAACTCCTTCTGATATATGACTCTAGGGTTTTCTGTTCTTCCCTGCACAAAGAAAGAACTCGTAAGAGGTCGGAGTTGGGTTCTCTGATTGTTCCTCTGACGATCAAGTCAGTAGATGATCTTAAGTGGGGAAATATAGAGTTAGCTATTAGTTGTGTCCAAAAAAGACCAGAGAGAGTTACCTCATGCAATTCTTCTGCTTTTTTTTAGTGAATCTGAGGGGCATGAAGGTAACTTGGGCCTAGTCAGCTAGGTAGTTGAGTCGGCAGATATGTGATACATGTCAGTTGTTGAGGGATGTGAGTCACATGTTCATTTATTATGGGAATGACAGCAAGTGCTCAGTGCTGATAAGGTCTGATGAGTCATAAATGCTATGGGAGCTAGAGAAATGATGACTTTGTCAGAGTAGTTAATGCAAGGACAGGCGGTTGCCAGCGTTGGGTTCAAGAAAACTACTGAGTCTTTTAGTCATCTAGCTGATGGTCGACTATACCTACTGACGGCTGATACAACGGGCTAAGTGGGGGTTATTCGCAATAGCGACTGGTTAGGTTAGACGACAAGTACCGCCTTTTGATTTGGATACGCGAGATGTTGGCTGAACAATGGGCCAAGTCGGTTGGCTTGTGGAGTCAATCGAAGGGTTGGCCGAATAGTACCGCCTTTTGTCTCAATTACGTGAGATGTCAGTTGAACAGTGGGTCGAGTTGGGTGGAAATTATCTTCGTCTTGAATTAGATGTATTAGATATAGTGTAAGACACATGGAGATTGCTCTGTGGAGATTAATATTTAGTATTTTTAGGGGTATACGTGGTGATTGTTCTGTGGAGATTAATATTTATTATTTTTTAGGGGTATAACAATAAGAATGTGGTTAAGAAATTTAAAAAAGAGGGAAAAGAGGTCTTAGTATTTTAGTAATATTAAGATTTATTTTTTTAACAAAAAACTTATTTTAACTAGTTGATAATAGTTTGGTCTATCTAAAACAATAATTATTTAATATGATATTACATTTTTATTTTCTATAAGATGTGTATAAAACGGAGAAATGAAAATATTCAGATGGTAAAGTAGCACTTAACATTATTTGGAATATAATTATGAAAATATTTAAGTTTTTGGGATATATATGAATAACACAAGAGAGCGTTTTGATTGGATATTGCTAATAAAGAAGGGCTTTGATGGATATTAGTCACTCAACTTCAATCTTTTGAAATTAGTCCCTCAAATTATTGAAATTGCCATTGTCCCTCAAATCTTATTATTTCTTTCAAATTAGTATCTATGTCACTTATCCAATCTATAAATTGCCATCTTAGGTCAAGTTAGTTCTTAACAACATATGGAGAATTATATGTTGGCCTTTTTATTTTGATGATGTTTTAACAAACAATTTATAACTAATTTTGTTTGTCTAGTGTTTGTATTTTTATATTTATTCTAGACAAACAATGATGTTGGAGGTTTGATGGAATTGAGCTAAACAATCACATCCAACGGAGGTTGGCGGAATATCGGAGTGAAGCAATACATCAAGCCATATTCAAGTTCAAGCTTCATCCGCATAGTTTACCAAGTCGAGCTTATTGAAAATCAAGATAGCTTGGGTAATTTAGTTTTAGGTTATATTATGTGTGTTGGTACTTTAAGCTCAATCATACACACACATACACATTTTGGTTTTATATATATACACATTTTGGTTTTTGGTTTTATATATATACATGTTTCGGTTTTAGGTTTTCAAGTTTAAATATGAAACAAATACATATTTATATATATACATGTTTGTTTTCATATGGTTAAGTTGTTTTGGTTTAGTTATGTAGATATGAAATAGATATATATTCATATACATATTTACTTGTTTCATATTCTATTGTATTTGGAAAAATGTTGAGTTATTGGTTTATGGACTTAACAATTATTATATACATATTTTATTAAGTCTATAAAATCATTTCACAAAATTTCAAAACTTAGTTTATGTCAAAACATTAAATTTCATGTCTATCAACTTTTTATTTTTTGGACATTTTTGCAAAATGATGAGTTTTCACAAATGTGAAGTGCAATTCCAAAAATTCCTTTTGTAACATGTTTATTATCATGTTTATAATCATTTTCCAAAGTTTTACAATTTTTAGAATTTATTTGCTATTTTTAAAGGCACTTCAAAAATCAGATTTACTGTTTTAATCAGGCTGATAACTTGTTATCAGTCGACTGATGGAGTTTATCAGTCGACTGATGAACTCGCATGTAATTGTAAAAGTTTCTGTTTTTGTGACTGATAAGCTATTGGTTCACTGACGAGGTCATCAGTCGACTGATGAGATCATTAGTCGACCGATGAGGTGTTGGGCTGACCCTAATGATCGGCTCATCAGTCAATTGATGAATAGTGTCAGTCGATTGACAACCTAACGGCTAGTTTTTGTAGCTTTCTATTTTTTTTGTCTTTTTGCTGGGTTTTCTTAGATTCTTATTGGCTTTAGGGTTTCCTATATATACCCATCATACCTCAGACCTAATATATACAAGAAAAAAGTTTTGAAAGAGTTTTACAAGTTTGTTTAAGGATTTTTAAGTTTGTTTAAGAGTTTGTTTGTGAAGAAATTTTCACAAGAGCTTGAGGAGATCATTCTTTGGTTTGTTTGTGAAGAAATTTTCACAAGAGCTTGAGGAGATCATTCTTTGGTGTTTGGGCATTCAACTCATCTCTCTCTCTCTCTCTCAGATCATTCTTTGGTGTTTGGGCATTCAACTCATCTCTCTCTCTCTCTCTCTCTCTCTCTCTCTCTCTCGTCATCATAGAGAAGTTTTCCAAAACTTATTCTAGCTATTTATTATTTTGATTATAATTTTCATAAGCTAGATTTACTTTGAGTTTAGTTTGTTTTGATTATACTCATTGTTCACACACAACCTATTGAGCTTATAATATTTCATACATAGTATAATTTAGGGTTGTGGGTTTGTAACATTGAGTTGGGCTTAATTAAGTTATCACCTTGTTTAGAGAACAATCATTTATTGTTGGACGTTAATTTGTGAGTTATACTTTGTAATAGACTTGTACACTGAGAGGAGTGTGTGGTGAGAGACGGAATCGTCCCAAGAGGAGTGAGGTCGGTAGTAAAGCCTAGAGGTTGGTCGTAATTCCGAGCACTTGAGCGAGACACGTGAGAGGCCAACACTTGAGGTGGGATTTGTGTAGTTACATTGTGAGTGATTGTGAACGTTGATCTGTGAGTGTTTAAAACCGATATTGTATGGTGTAAATGTTTTTCGGGTGAGTGTCGAAAACTCGGTTGTGTAGTGGATTCTCCCCGGGAGTGGGGAGCAGAGACGTAGGTCGGAAGGACCGAACTCCGTGATCATTTTTGTGTGTTTGAGTTTGCTTTGGCGTATCACTTATGCTTATTGTTTAGTTCATTCAATTTCGCCATTGTCTATTGCTCTTTATTTATATTGCCTCTACCACATTTGCATCTTGTTTATTTCACTCTTGTTTATATTGCTTATCCTTGCATGTATCTCTTGTATATCATACTTGCTAGGATAAAATTTTAATAAGTTTTAAATTAGCATAAAATCAGATTACGTTTGGGCCATGGCGGCCAGTGCTCCTAAGATCATAGAAGCAATGCTGCAGAAAAAGAAGATTTGTTGCAATGTACCTCCATAGGAACCAACAATAGAAAGACGTGACATATTTGCAGAAATAGAGATTTTAGGCGCAATAGAAAGGAATGCTGTCACCGGGGTGGGTGAACCCTCATAGATATCAGGTGCCCACATATATTGAGTCAAAAGTATCATCAATTAATCATCTTCCCTCCCCAAATCTAAAATAAATAAATAAATAAATGAGTGTAAGGGATGGGTTGAAATGGGTCTAGAAACTCATATATTGGGCTTAGACAGGTTTCAAAATACAAAAATTAGTAATTACCCGAAGGAAATAATCAAAGAGA